GAGAGAAAGCTTACGTTTTTTCACGCGACGGAGGCTTCTGCATAGACAAGCTCGAAGATATAACCAAAGATGAACTTTGCTCCAAGTGTTGCATGAAATCTATGCAGCTCAGACTTCAGGTGACTCGGCATATCACCAGGATGACCTTGATGCATTGAAGCAATCGTGCGGCATACCCATGACCTCTAATCCAGTTACTCCGGCGCCGGCTGGCACTCCACCTTCAGAGACGCCAGCGTTGTCATCTTATTGCCCAGGGATTCTGCAGAAAGCTCACATCAGCATAGTCTGATTTGTGCGAGTATGTACACTGTGAAAGCCGGTGGCACGGCAATTCAATTGCCAAAGCCCTCCCTGTAGCCATGGACCGACTTTTGGCATACAATGGCTTGCCCATGAGTTCTGATGAGCCGTTAACTGCAAGATACTCTGCCTCGGCAAAGTTTCCAAGTGCCTTATATACCAAGTCGTTGCCGAGGACACCTGTGAATCTTTAATGAAGCTTGACGGGCTTGGAGATAAGGAATACCATCTGCACTCCTGGGACCTGGAAACCAAATGTTTCAGTGAACACTAGGATCTATACTGCTTCTCTAATCTATCCAATCCTGTTCTTCCTAGTCCGACAGATATCCCTTTGTCCTGCTATTCCACTGTTATGATTATTCCTGAAGGTTGGGTGGAGCCCCCCGTCCAACTCAATCCTGCGTCCCAGAAAACTGCAATAAGTGGCATCTACTACAGAATGATGATACCTGTGCTGTAATTGTGGTGAAGTATAAGATCACTCTTAATTATGTTTACTAGTATAACCCTAGTATTAATGTATAATGCTTGAATACTCGAGCGGCGTTTGCCGTTTGTATCTGTGTGTGGGAGGAGCCAGAAGCCCCTATGCTGACGAGCGCTGGGCCTTCGGGCCCCATTGGGTCAGGGACTAGTCCGACATACACGAAGTGGTATCTTCTAGCAAATGGTGACATTTATGACTTGATCGCGATGAAATATGGTATTCTTGCCAGTCTTTTCTGTCAGCTTAACAGGAGAGTCAACTCGGCATGTGATAATATAATGGTGGGCAATGCTTACTGTGTGGGTCAATATGGAGACTTTAAGATTATAGATCACTGATTGTCAAAGCTTGATATTTATTGTCTGTCTATTCTTATTGTCATTTACTGTGCTTTACCTATGTATTGCTATTTATCACTCTTGAAATTTATAAATTCACTTTGATTGTCTATCTAAATCTTATCCAGTTAGTAGTGTATCGGAATAGACGTCTTTCTCAGATGAACTAGCTAAAGCCATCGATTATTTCTATTAGTCAAGTTTAACTAATCTATAAGTTCCAATAGCTTTTATATTAGACCTTCTCCCAGGTATCGCTACCATAAACCAGCCCAGTATCCCGACCGGCGAGTGCCCTAATATTATATTGCTGAAATCACTAATATCTCCTTCACTTCAGGCATACTAAAGTCTTTAAATGAAGCTAAGAGTCTTAGCTACTCTTATATCTATTAGCAGCATCTCCCTCTTTCTCACCAAGTAACTAAGGCTCACATCTCGCCACAGCCAATTTCTGCCCTTCTAATAATATCCCCAGTCAATCAGTAAAAACCTGTTCGGAACCAGTGACTAAGACCAGCAGCTCTCTCGGAGCAAAGAGCTGCCTGTATTAGCCTGCCTACACAGTCTCCTTCCTCTTCATTTAGGGACATTTTCCCTTATAGTGTTGAGTGCTGTACACGTGCACCAAGAATGGATCCTAAACCCTACCCCCGCCAGATTCAGAGGCTAAGCTAGTATCCAAGACCAAGTTCCGTCAAGCGAACTTGGCATGGTTCTAGATTGCTTTAACAGTGTTGTACGACGTACATGAGATTTAAAGGCAGTTGAGCTTGGGAGGACCGGAGATTTTCTTGATCAGGTGGAGGATAGCACGCACCGAGGCATTCCTCTAGCTGTATGGATGGGTAGGAACTAGGAGGAATGTCTGTATATAAGAGCCCTATAATGACTGAAATGACTTCCCGTGTCGAGCTCCCCAGCAATTGTGCTTATCGTCCCGCTCCAGCTTATCCAGGATGGTCGGCAAGATTCATGTGGCCAATGTTGGCCTCTTCGGTGTCTCGGGTGTCCTTGTGGCCGTAAGGATATGGCTGAGAAGAGACGAAACACCTTCAATGCCCTATAACCTGGATACTACTTTGCACTGTACCTGGTGGTAGGAAAACGACAGATCCATTCCTTGTGGGGATATTCTGTCTGCCTGGGGTATCACTCTGGCTGATTTCTGGAGATGGGTGATATTTTTCTCTTTTTCTTTGTGTGCCGCTCTGTATAGTACTTGGATAGACTGACTCCAGGTAGAATCCCGCTATTACTAAGATGGGCGGGAACTTGCTTGCGGGCTGTTTATACTATGTCAAGGTCTTTGAGGAACCTGTACTGATGACAGCTCCTTCTACTACCACCACTCAGCCGGCGCGCCGGATCCGACTCAACCGGGCCAAATTGACGCTTGTAATTAGTGGGATCTGGTTGAGTCCGGAAACATGTGCGATACATTTATTAACAAGTATCCCGGTCTGACCACGCCAGCTGCTGGTTGGGTGGAACTCGGAAATTGGCGCCTAGTGCCAGTACCCTGTGGGTTGACTACTATATAAGTTACCATATCTAATCGTCACGGTACCTTTTGACTGACTCTGGAAAGATCTGTACCGGAATCAAAGAATGGACACCCCCGTGCGGGCATGACTTCAGGCACGACTCTAACGGCCACTAACAGCATCCCAATGCCCAGCCCCCTCCAGCCAGATATAATTGAGAACTGCAACAAGGTCCGCCTTGTCAAGCCCGGCAATAACTGCAGCGCCATTACCTCCTAGTGCACCATCTCCCGGGACAAGTTCCTCCTGTGATTCTGGTATTTGCAGGGGTGCAGATCTCTCTTGCTGGATTACTACATCTGTATTTCGGTGGTTGGCAAAATGTCCACCGGCACAACAATGACCAAGCCCAGTCTTACTAATGGAGTTATGACTCTGACGTTCATCCGCCCGGGCATAGTTGATAGCTGCAATAAGTTTCACATGGTAGTTGAGGGCGATGAGTGTCACGCCATCGCAAACAGCAATGGCATCACGCTGGAGCCGCTTGTCTCCTGGAATCCCGAGGTGAAGACTGACTGCAGCAGTCTCTGGTTGGGTTACTATATCTGCGGCAAGGTCATCGGCGTAACACCCAGCCCAGCAACAACAACTGGCCCCACGGATCCCACAAACGGCATTGAAACGCCGACACCCATCCTCCCGGGGATGGTCGACAACTGCGACAAGTTCCACATGGTTGTCGACGACGACCAATGTGGGAACATAGCGCAGAAGTACGGCATCAGCTGGAACCAGTTCACCACGTGGAATCCCCAGATCGGCTCGGGCTGTTCCGGCCTCTGGCTAGGATATTATGTCTGCGTGAAAATCATAGGCGTGGCACCGACGACAACGACAACAACAACGACAGTTGGCAACGGCATCTCAACACCCACTCCACCTACAGCATCATGGAAACCCAGCTATATGCATGGAACACTCAGATCGGAACGAACAGCGGCGGCTTGTGGGTTGACTACTACGTTTGTGTCAGTATTGTCGGCGCGAACCCGAAGCCCACTACCACTACTACAAGCAATGGCATCGCAACACCAACGCCAACACAGACCGGGATGACAGGCAACTGCAAAAAATTCTACAGGTTGTGGACGGGGATAGCGGCGAGACGATCGCGAAGAAGGCCAGTATTACTTTGGCCAATTTCTATTTGTGGAATACAGGCGTGGGAAGCAGTTGTCAGACTCTGTGGCTGGGATACTATATATGTACGGGGGTGAAATAGGGGCACTTAGAAGATCAAGTTATCTCGAAACTGGTCACTCGGTCTTGCATGCCCCAGTAGTAGATAACCTTATGTGAGAATGAATTATATTTACTGAACACCTTCTATAGAAAAGAATAGGCCTGAAAAGTTAGGGCTAATCGTGGTGAGGTACCGGTCTGTACAGCTAACGACACCCATTACCAAGCCAAAACCAACTCGACCATTCCACATTTAAAAACTATTTCATTCAAATACACATGTTAGAGAAGGGGTATTAAGCTGAAGAAGGAGAACAGAGAACAAGAAAAAACAGTATTCCAATATAAAGATTAGACAATTAAAGATTTATAAAGGGCACATACTGCAACAAAACAAATAACTTAAATCTATGGCGCCTTTTAAGGTCCATTTGGGATCTGATTATTACATGATTGTGGCGGGGTGGGATGCGCTTATGGCTGCTAGTAAGGTTTTTGCGAATCCCCAGCGAAGAGACGAGCTCATAAAAAGTCTGGCCCATCTCTTGAAGGAGTACTTGGATAATATCATCTTCCTGGGGTTGCTGCACTGAGGGGTCACCTGTGTAGCGTACTAATCCAAGCTCTTAGAGTTTGCTCATAAAAGAGCCGAAGAATCCACTGAGAAAGCTCAGAGTCCCCCTTGCCGTACACGGTCGATATTTAGAAATCTGCCAGTCTTTCAGACATCGCTGGACTGTACGTTCAGAAATCTTAATTCCATGCTGTTGATAAGGCAATAGCAGAGAGGTCATTACCTAAAGGGTAAAGAGAAATAATATCATCCCTGTGCAGCTCAAGATCTGTTATTGGACGAGGCATAGTAAGGATATGTCTTCACTCTTTCCAGTTTTTATAGTAGATTAGGAAGTAGGAAAATATAACTATATTTCTATACCTCTTGAATATATCCTAAAGACTGTATAATGCATCAATAGTCAACTGTCAGCTACTAAAGTGGCTGCTTGGTGGCGGTATAATATGCGATATGATATGTGATATCTATATAGGACGATTGTCTAGTCTGATCTCCAGATAAAATATGTCAACCAAAATGACCACTATTTTGAATATAACGTAATCGGTAAGCGAGCGACGCATGTAAGCCAGCGACGCAGCTCTGTATTCCATACAAATCGACCCTTTTTAACACTTGAATATCTCAGCAACCA